TGATACTAAGTATTTGTATTTGTAATGCTTTGCGGTATGAATTCGTTGGTGACGTGTATAATGTAATAGATGATTTAGAGGTAAAAGTTTTTGGATATTTTATTTATTTTATATGTGGAAATGTTCATATTTGGAAAGGATAAATACTTTTTCGCGATCAGGTAATTTCATATATGTTCTTTTTAACCGGGTTTTAAAGATTGAGAAAATTGTCATGTATTTTCGTGAAATTTTTCTAATTTATGAGAAAAAGCAGCAGTGTACATGGATATAGTGAAGAGTGTGCGCAATGCCATTTTTGTGCAATTCTGGGATGTTTTTTTAAGTAAAAATAAGTCGGCGTGTACATGGTTTATGTGTATGTGTTATTTTGAAAAACGCGTAAGGAGTATGGTATTGTGCACTTTTTCCCAATTTTGCAGTGAATATTTGTCATGATTAAGCAGTTTTGTTTGATAAAATTTCTAGCATAAGTGTAATTCGGCTAGTAGATTGTTGGAAGAAGTGTTCAGTTCATAAAAAGAAAAGAAACATGTCTTTACTTCGTGAAGACAAAATGGCGGCGGGGAAAAAAAATAGAGGGTTGCTGGAGGAGAGTTGGTTGCCAACGTTTCGCCAAAAAATCGCCAAGTTACCATAATGTAAAGATCAACCAAAGGTTTCTTTAATCAGGTGAGTCCATTGGACCCAGCGTGCTGCTAGCGGGTTAAATACTAATAGATCTACTTCATACTACTTTAGCAGAGTGTAAACAATAAAAATAGAAAAATACTACTTAATTTATTCTTTTAATTGTTTACATATGGATGCCGCTTGTTCTTTGGTGATTCTTTTTTTATGCCATATTGGCACCAGGAAGGCACTATTTCAAGATGGCCGCTACACAAAACCAAAATAAGAAGTCAAAGAATTGCACAAACTCTGTGTCCAAGTACACATCGATCTGTTTTCACTTAAAAAAAAATCCCAGAATTGCACAAAATAGGCATTGTGCACTGCCTTAAATTTGTCCATGTACACATCAATCTATTTTCATTAAAAAAAAATCAGGTAGCTAAAACACAGTTAAAACTATCATGATAACCAGAAATGAGGTTTCATCACCAAAATTTAAAAAAATTTGTCGTTAATCGAAGGGGCACCCAATTCTACACTAGAGCGTTTAGGGTAACTTAACAGTTTACATGGCATTCAAAAATTCATTTAAATTCTGGTTTTGACTCGTGGAATAACCAGTTGAGTCACGTGGAATCCCTGGTTATGGTTTAACTTACTTTCATTGTAACATCAGCTAATGGTAAGATATACCTTCTTATTCATTGCTGCTTAACAAAGACTAGTAAGAAATCCCAATACCTTAAGAAGAAAAAACCAGATAGAAGAGAAAGCCCAACCTTAAATTAGACCTGAAAAGTCTAGAAAATGTAATTTATATGATGAGAAACATCTGGAAATTTCAAATCTTAGTTCTATTAAATACCAATGGCATAGTGGAAATTAAAACCTGGTACTATATCCAAAATGTCCTTAAAAGCATTCCTCCCATTAGGCAGATAGCCCTCGAGAAAAATTTAAAAGAAAAATAAATTCCAAAACATATTTTAACAAAATGAGTCTTTTCAATCTTGGACTGAATTTTAAGATTAAAGGAAAAAAATATAATTCAAATCATTTTTTCCCTGCCATTTTATGCTGATAATTCAACATAAAAAGCATTAAAGTTATTTAACTTAAATAAACTTATGGGTTTAATCCTAGTATCCAGTGCACACGGGATTTGGCTACTGATGAGCAAAAATGGGACATCATAGGTTAAGTTATTTAATTATGGCAAAGCCTCGAGGACTGTCTGCCTAATGGGAGGAATGCCTTCGTGGTTGACTCTTTAAGGGAAACTGGCTCCTATACATGTTACACATGGGGAAAACCATGAAAACACCCATGTGTTATATATGTAACTGTAACTGTATCTATTATTATGTTTAACCATAACTGTAATATAGAAGCGAAAATTGGAAGAAATGGAAACAAAAATTCCAAATTTATATGTTAGCGTCTGGTGTATTACTAAATCACCTGAAATTAAGTAGCTATTTATTATTGCATAATTGGTGAAGAAAGCACTTGAAAAATTAATACTTTTAATTTAAGTGAAGAAGATAAGAAGGATGTTGACAAAGTAGTAACTGAAGCTTTCGAAAATTTTGCATACCGAAAGCAAACGAAAGTGTTGATAGACATATATTTTTCTGCGAACACAACATGTAGGTGAATCGTTTGATGATTTCTTAAACCGATTTAAAGAAATTAAGTAGCTGTGATAAAAATGTTCCAGCTATTTTAGGGTTACCTACATTGCAAAAAAAAAACCTAATACAAGGATTTGTACAGTAAATCCTGATTCTAACGAAATGTTACCAGAACTTTAAAAAGGGATATCAAGATTTGTTTAAAGGAACTGGGAATTTACTGGGATATACATATCATATTAATTAAAACAGGAGCTGTTGGTAAAATAGAACCCTGTAGGAAAATTCCACTTAGTTTATTAAATCCATTAAAAAAGGAATTAGCAAAGAATGGAAAAAGATGGTATTATAAAGAAAGTTAACCAACCAACAGAATTGTGAATTCATTAGTGGTAGTAAGGAAAAAGGATGGAAATTTAAAGCGTGTGTTAGATCCTCAGCACCTTAACCAAATATACTGAGAGAACATTATCACATACCAACCTTTGAAGAAAATTCATCTCAAATGACAAATGCAAAGGTCTTTAGTATTTAGATGCAAACAAAGCATTTTGGCAAAATTAAACTGTCAGATTCAAGTTGGAATTTACTACATTTAAAACTCCGTTTGGTAGATATTGTTTTTAAAGGTTGCCCATATGGACTGAGTTCATCACCAGAAGTTTTCACAGAAGTTTTTCTGAAATTTTTAGTGATTTAGAAGGAGTTCAAATATATATAGATGACTTATTAGTTTGGGGGTAAAGATGTTCTACAAAAACATCATGGGAGTTTGTTTACTGTGAAATCGAAACTTATATCGCTGGTAAGTGAGTTGTTATTTTTATTGGAAGTGGCATTTATGTCAAACACCAAGTGAAGGAAAGATGCTGTAGTGTTATTTAGCTTATCAGAAACACCTTCAGACACATAAAAGAGACATAATATGGTTTACACAAGGAAAACAGAATGGTCTAAATATTATAGGCTTATAATAAGAACAGACAGAACATAATCAGGAAAAATTGCGATCATGAAAATGTTCAAATTTCCGAAGTCTGCACCAAGCACAAGAACATGAACTACGGATCTGCACACTCATCTATATCTAGTAGAATAGTACCGATGTTACTTTAATCAAATTACCTCTAAATTCCCATTTCCCTTCAGATACTTCATAGAAGAATCTTGGTACACTAGCACCCACTGTAACAGCAGAATGGCAAGCGACAATGGATCTTATACAAGTGGATTTAGATATATATCTAGAGACTATATTGAAGAACTACACGTGTCAATTCAGATAAGACTTCTGGAATGTCTTCATTGTCACTCTCATCTGAACTCATGCTAAAATTGGAGACTTTACAGTTAGATATATATATATAAAGAATAACTGGAATGATAAGCGAAGGATATCGCAGAAGATGATAAATGTATTCTCTAAAGAGATAATTATTTATTTCACTAGTGCAGCAGCGGGAACGTACAGCTGTATTTCAAAGCATGGACCTAGCATCTGCTACTGAGATAAATGTTTCGTTGCGCGCCTTCTGCGCATTATGAAAAAGAACTTCACAGTCACAGTTTCAATGGCAGTTTCCCGTTATATATTGTATTTATCTTTTAATTTTTAGCGCCCACCAGCGGCCGAGCGGTAAAGTCGCTGAACACTGGTAGTTCGGTCCGAGGTTCGAATCCCGCGAACGGGCTGGCTGCATGGGCGTTTTCGTGGTTTTCCCCATGTGTAACGTGTATACGAGCCAGTTTCCCTTAGAAAGTCCTCCACGAAGGCATCCCTCCTCTTAGGCAGATAGCCCTCGTGTGCTTTGCCATAATTAAATACACACACACTCTTTTAATTTTTATATTTTGTCTCAAAATATTTTGAAAACTTTATTATTACAAACCATGTAATTTTAAGTTCCGAGCAGTAATATAAATTATGATTGAAAAGAGAAACAAAAAACAGGGAACAGAGAAACAAAAAAACTGTCGTAAGAAATGCATCATTCTAATTTTTGTTGCAAATTTGTTCCTTTCTTATTTTCTTTATTTAGTATGCTGTATAACAGTATGTCTAAGCGAAGTTTTCCTAATCTGTTTTGGAGTGTTTAAATTTTTCTTTTTTTTCCAACTTCGATTTTACGTTTAAATTGTAATTTTGTTTGTCTTGTCTGTCTTCCCCCCCCCTGGGGGTTGACTCAGGCGAATGCCTGGGAAGTACTAGTTAGGATCTGTACCTAGGCACTTTCAACCAGGCCGATGCTATTCGCACCACCGGTGCGATTAGCCGCTTAGCTATTCGCACCCAAGGTCCGTAGAAAGACCCAAGGTTCTTTCTACGGACCTTGATTCGCACCAACATTAACTACGCATGCGCATTGACTTGTCAGATCCGTCAATTGAACCCCATCGAATTTATTTGGAAAGGTCGAAGCAAGAGTCAACTAGATATCTAGTTGGCCTTGCTTCGACCTGACGGAGCTATATTTGCTTGGTCGAAGAGAGATATTAATGTATACCCCTGAAGCTTATTTTACAGGGGCAATCTATTCACCCTCCGTACCTTTCTGCGCAAATGCGAAATAATATCAGAAGGCAACCAAAAAACCCCTAAGGAGAGAGAAACAGAACAAAGTACAGCTCCAAAATATATCTTTCTTTCACACCCAAGCTTGAATTTTCATCCTGCGGGCAGAAAATCTTAGTTAGGTGCAAAATAAGACATCTGTCTATACCTGTCTGTCTGTCAATGAAAAGTATGTTAATGGTGTACTTTTTCTCTGTTTTTTAAATTGCGATGTCTAGGAACTGAAATGTGGTTGCATTATTCTTTGAATGCGGTTTAGTTATAATTTCGTGAGGTTAAATACATTTCATTTGTAAGTTATTTACTAGGTAAATCGCGTTTTAAACTAATAGTTCGATCCAAATTATTGCTATTTATATATACTGAAAAAATTCCGATTTTTATACATTCCAAATAAATTAACGACATTATTAATTTATCGAGAAGGACATAATTATCTAAAGAACGCTGTATGCTTAATTTTATTACGAATATAAAATTTAGAGTAATATTTTAAAATGAACTGTCTGTTGACGGACCGTTCTCAGTGTGATTAGTAAAGTTCATAAAGGTATTCAATTTCGTGGTTAGTATTCATTTGAGAGTATATTTGACGATCTTTTAAAAATTCATCTGCAAACGTCTCCAAGTGGAATAAATAAGTAATAAAAATATCTGATAACTTTTACGAAAAGTAACATAATATACACCAGATACTGATATTGTTCCTATGAAACCAAAATGGGTTATTTTATTTGCATAGTTATAGAACAAAAGAGTAACATACTGAAAACAAAATATGTAACTATAAATTTAATAATGAGTGTGGTTATTACATGATTTTTTTTTTAGCATTTTGTCAGAGCTGTTCTGAAATGGAATTCAGATTAAAAAGAATTGTTTTTTTTTTATAATTTTCTGAATTATATGCATAGAATTTATTGAAAACAATGTGAGTATATTGCTTTAAATAATTTAATGGAACTGTCAAAATAAATATCAAACTATTTCTTAGCATATGTATTTAAAGATTTGTACAAGCAGCTATGAATCAGTATGGCAAACATATGTAGTGAAATATTTACTGACATTTTAAAATTTAAATTGCAATGAACCAATCAGAAAGAAGGAGAAGGGAAATATAATAATTAGATTTTCAATGCAATAATAAGTTATCAATTAAATTTCTGATACAAATTTATAAAGTTTATCTTTTATGTATTAAAATAATGTTTTATGTTCAAAATTTCATATTTTCAGCAACAAGAATTTTTATTATACTCCAAGTATTCTGGATAATGTTAGCATATCTGTTATTTCAGAGATACAGTTGAGGATTGACTTTATCATGTGCTAAAAACTTTAACTTAGCAGTACAGCTTCTGAAAATGCAAAGTTATAATTACACCAGACCAATATAAAACCACAAAATGCAATTTTTAGATCTGTTTCTCATATTGCATAAAAAGAAATAATTACTTTCCCTTTAAATCTTTAGTAAACTTTCCTCTCTCCGCATTAAGTTAGCTGCCTTTATTATTTCTGCAATACTGCAGATCTGAAACCTTTTTGTATATTTAAAATCTGATGCTGATTTCCAACTGAAGTACTCAGACTTATCCTCAAATTGCATGTTAAATATTATAACAAGAAAGTGCTGTGCATAATAAGATGTGACTAATAATTTATATATATATAAAATAACAAATTTTTATTTACTGTACATTTTACTTAATAAAATTAATATTTTCAACTATACTTAAAGTGGTGCTTTTAAAACTTCAAAACAATGTTTTATTTAATATTTTATTACTAGTCTTTAGACATTTATAATTAATGCAAGCATCATGTTAGGTATTCTTTTGTTACTGGGACTGGATTCAGAGATATATGTACATATGCACATATCGATGGATGTATGCATTCATGAATGAATGTATATATGTATGTGCCTATGTATGTGTTATCTGAATGTTTTTTTTGGTAACAGAAAAAGTATGTTATGTTTTATATATGACCCTTTGCACTTGTACATCCATATTATATGTATAATTCATAACTGTATATCAATTAAACATATGTGTTTTTCTTATTGTATCAAACAATGGAAGGGTATCTTCTTAGTAAATGCACTATAGGTAGTGCAGGCATTTAAAATTAAAATTATGAGAAAGGCATCAGAAGTAGTAATGCAGTATAATAGAATTTTAACTATATTTGATAGGTTGATATAAAAATCATCCATTTGAGGACTGAGAAATTTAATATGAGAAGAGTTATTCTGGAAAGAGTAGAATGATCCTACTTTTTCTTTGCACTTTGAAGGAAGCAGTATATGATGTGGAATAAACTGTCTTTGGTACAAGTACTGTGTATGCATTTCATTTCTCCATTGATAAACCCTCATCTAACGTCACAGCTACAGAGAAATGAATGCCAGTTGTTTCAGCAGATTCAAAGTAATATACCGTTAATTTTTTAAGTGTGTGTCATTGATAATTTTTCTGCTTCAAACTATATACAGTGTCTCACAAAAGTGATGGGACACTTGTGCTTTACAAAAGGAAACTGTAGTAAAATAAATTTTAAAAAATGTAAAAATTTTTTGTGGGTGTGTTTCATACTTAAATTTAGTAACAATTATTACATAACATACATTTTCTCAAAATATTAAAATATTTATTTAATAAAAATACAATTGTTTAGAACGGAGCAAAAAATGGCTCGTATAAGTGATGGGACACTTACTTTTCCATCAAATATTTATCCAAAAATTTTGCTTTTCAAAAGGTTTTAATATTTTGTTGAATTTCCTTTTACTTTTAAAACATGATTTAATCTTCTTGGGATGGATTCGACTAATTTTTTTGTGATTTCTGGAGTGATTTTACCCCATTCTTCATGAAGCACCAATTTTAATTGTTGTTTTGAAGAAATGGTGTGTTTGCGAATTCTTGATTCCAATTCTTGCCAAATATTCTCTATGCGATTTATGCCTAGAGATTATGGTGGTGTTTTTATTATTTCAGGACAGTTATACAGCAGCCAGAATCTAAGATTCAAAGCAGTGTGCTTGGGGTCATTGTCCTGGTAGAATTTAAAATCGTTATGAAGGTTCAATTTTCGTGCTGAAAATTTCAAATTTTGATTTAAAATGTCAATATACTTGTACTGATCCATTATACTGTCAATAAAAACAAGATTACCAAATCCAGCGGACGACATACACCCCCATACCATAACTCCTCCTAAACCATGTTTTACTGTTAGCACAAAGTTCTGTTTGCGAAATTCTTCCCTGGGTTTTCTCCACACCAAGATTCTACCATCAGAACCAAATATATTAAATTACTCTCATCAGCAAATATAACTTCATTCCATTAATCAGAATTCTTATTTATGTTGGATTTTGTGAAAGCCAGTCTGAGTTTTCTATTCTTTTCACTTACGAAGAATTTTTTCCTGGCTGCTCTACTGTGATATCCAGCAGATCGAATTACTCTTCTAATAGTCTCAGGATTAACAATTACTCCATATAATGCTTGTAAATCAGCAGAAACTTTAGGAGCACTCATTCTCGGATTTTTTTAATATTTCGAACGATAATTCGCTTTATTCCATTGGATAGCTTTGATGGTCCGCTAGGTCTTCTTTTATCCTGAATCATATGATTCTTTTTATATAGTTTAATGATATTGAAAATTGCTGAATGACTCAAGTTAACTGTTTCAGCAGTTTTTCTAATAGATTTTCCACGTTCAATATGCAAATTAATAACTAATTTTCGAATTTCAGGCAAAACTTTCTTTTCGTTTAGCATTCAGGGCTGCACAAAGCTAAAAAACACAAAAATTCCAAAACAAACTGGAGAAATACTGCAGATGATTTTATAAATTATTGCCAATTGCTTTTGAGTAAAAAAAACAAACCCCCAAAAATTGTTTTTTATTGTAGTACGTAGTAGTATCTAATGGTGTCCCATCACTTATGTGAGCCATTTTTTTTGCTCGTTCTAAACAATTGTATTTTTATTAAATTAATATTTTAATATTTCTAGAAAATGTATGCTATGTAATAATTGTTACTAAATTTAAGTATGAATACACACCACAAAAAATTTGTACATGTTTTTTTAATTAATTTTATTACAGTTTTCTTTTGTAAAGCACAAGTGTCCCATCACTTTTGTGAGACACTGTAGTTACTGTATAATGTACATTGAATTAGTTTGGTTTATTTTTATTTCTGGGCATTTTAAAGTTATTTTCTTGCTTGTGTCGAATGGAAAGTGAGTGACAGCACTTTTACTCTGCATCAGATAAAAGAATGGCTGGAACAACAAAAGGATGATAAGAAGAATCTAAATGGTAGAATACGATATTTCACTTAGCCGCCATCAGTCATGGTTCGTATTGGTCCTTACAAGTGCTTATATGTCCTTATATTTGAAAATAAAATATAAAAGCTCTCATAGGTGCTTATTTTTTCTCCAAAGCACTTACTTTTTGTTTTTAAGGCTTTTTTTTTTTAACGAATGTACATTTTTTCTCCGTACCAAAGCTGAACCAAGTAAACAACTTTACTTACTTATATGGAATGTCTTGTGAATCAATATCCCAGAAATAGCTTGGTTGATCTTTACAATATGGTAACTGGTAGTTTGGCGACATTTTGGAGGCGATAAAGGTACTACCTGGGACTTTGGTAATAATGTGAGCAGTACTCAGTTCCGATTACGCATTATTTGTGTGAGGGAAATGAGAGATCATGGGATATGTCATGTGATATTAATGAATGAATTGCGGTTCTTTAATCGGAAAAGGGGGGAAATCGGAAAAAATTTGGAAATTTTGTATTTGGCTTTATTCTGTGTTGTGTGAAACAGCGTTCCGTTGAATTTTGGATCCTGGCCGTAACTAAAGTGAATTTGAAATGGGTATTTATGTATGTATTAATTTAATGTATGTGCTCATTTATATTTTTAAGTAGTGTTTTTTTTTGAATTTAATTATATTTTAATTAAATGATAGTTATTTTGTGAATTTTATGTTGTAGGAATTGGTATACGTTTAGTTGAAGTAAACGTGCATGGAAATGATTTAAATATTTGATACTAAGTATTGTAATGCTTGCGGTTGAATTCGTTGGTGACGTGTTAATGTAATAGATGAGTTAGAGGTAAAAGTTTTTGGATATTTTATTATTTTTATATGTGGAAATGTTCATATTTGGAAGGGTAATACTTTTCGCGATCAGTAATTTCATATATGTTCTTTTTACGGGTTTAAAGATTGAGAAAATTGTCATGTATTTTCGTGAAATTTTCTAATTTAATGAAAAAAAGCATGTACATGGATATAGTGAAGAGTGTGCGCAATGCCATTTTTGTGCCATTCTGGGATATTTTTTTTTAAGTAAAAATAAGTCGACGTGGTACATTTTTTAGTGTTTTTAAATTAAATGATAGTTATTTTGTGAATTTTATATTTGTAGGATTTGGTATACGTTAGTTGAAGTACGTGCATGAATAATTTAAATATTGATACTATTATTTGTAATGCTTGCGGTTGATTCGTGGTGACGTTTATATGTAATAGATGATTAGAGGTAAAAGTTTTTGGATATTTTTTTTTTTATATTGTGGATGTTCATATTTGGAAGGGTAAATACTTTTTCGCGATCGGTATTTCTATATGTCTTTTACGGGTTTTAAGATTGAAAAATTGTCAGATTTTCGTAAATTTTTCTAATTTACGAGAAAAAGCAGTGTACATGATATAGTGAAGAGTGGTGTTGCAATGCCATTTTTGCTGCAATTCTGGGATGTTTTTTTTAAGAAAAAAAAGTTGGCGTTTACATGTTATGTGTATGTGTTATTTTGAAAAAACGCTGTAATGAGTATGGTATTGTGCACTTTTTCCAAGTTTGCAGTGATATTTTCATGATTAGCAGTGTACATGGATATAGTGAGAGTGTGTGCATGCCATTTTGTGCAATTCGGGATGTTTTTTTAAGTAAAAAAAAGTTGGTTGGCGTGTACATGGTTTATGTGTATGTGTTATTTTGAAAAACGCGTAAGGAGTATGGTTTGTGCACTTTTTCCCATTTTTGCAGTGAATATTTGTCATATTAAGCAGTTTGTTAGATAAATTCTAGCATAAGTGTAATTCGGCTAGTAGATTGTGGAAGAAGTGTTCAGTAGATAAAAAGAAAAGAAACATGTCTTTACTTCATGAAGACAAAATGGCGGCAGGGAAAAAAAATAGAGGGTTGCTGTAGGACAGTTGGTCGCCAAAAAAACGCCAAGTTACCATAATGTAAAGATCAACCAATAGCTTTCCGCCCCTTTCTCTGCATTAACATAACGTGCATGTCGCTCTATTGGTCAAAGAATTGCGAAAGCGGTAGAAAATTCCGGTACATTCCGTATTCTTTTGCTCCCACCCAATACTACACACGTTTTAATTTCTATCAAGATTTTAATAATTTACATTCTCGTTCCGCGCGTTGAGTTCATATTCGCATTTATTATGATTGGTATGCTTATATTATGATCATATGTATGAATATTTATAATGTTATATTTGCAGTAACTGCTGAAGTATAGATAAACTTCAAAAATGGGTAAGTGTGTTTTAACACAAATTAGTAAATTAGTTTTCAAAGGAATAATATTCGGAATGGCATAAATAAAGTAATCGGATAGCAAGGGTGTTTTTGCTCCGGGGAAACCCTGGAATTCCGGGGATTTTGAACTTTGATACCAGGAAATTCCGGGGATCGTCGTTCAAAAGGAAGTAGGAATAATAATGAATTATTTATTTTGATCTGATTAATTTTGTTTGCTTTGAAAGCAGAAAACGCAAGTTCAGTGTGTGTGGTGAAATGACTTTGAAAGCAGAAAACGCAAGGTCAGTGCTATGTCTGCCAAGGAGAGAATGCATAGTAGCTATTGAGATATTGAATTTCCTGGCAGTTTCGTGTAAATGTTGCCAAAAAGTGAGTGTTTTGTCAAGTGTGACTCCTAGATACTTCACTTGATCCGTCCACTGAATATCGTCGTCAAAGAAGATGGGATTAGGTGGAAGTTGATTTGTCCTTTTCTGAAAATAATGGCTTTGGTTTTGTCAGTGTTAACGACAGTTCTCCACAGCGTCATCCAGTTTTCAAGAAGCTCCAAATAGTTTTGTAGAAAAATTTGTACAGTATTGATGGTTGAAGCTTGAGTTAGGATAGCGGTATCATCGGCAAATAAAGCGATAGTAATATGAGATTTTTTTTGGAATGTCTTGAGTATAAATATTGCAAAGAAAAGGAGAGAGAACGGAGCCTTGAGGGACACTTGCAGTGATAATTCTTGTAGTTGAGAGAGTGTTTCCAATTTTGACAGTGAAAGTGCGATTTCTGAGGTAAGAGGCAATAAGTCAAATAAAGTGGTTCGGAAAATTGAGCTAAATTA